GGATACCTACAACTAACTAGAAAGTGTGATCGAGAAGAGGATCCAGCAAAGAAGATGGAGAAGGAGCAGTCAGAGGTTGGAGGAAATTCAGGAGAAGTGACCTGAAAACTGAGAAAAGAGCGAGTCACAGTATTAGAGGCTGAAGAGATGTCAAGGAGAAGGAGGATGAAGAAAAAGCTCTTGGATCATTAGGAACTTTGGAGGGAGCAGTTTGGGTGGAATGATAAGGTGTGAAGCTGGATTGTAAGGGGTTAAGAGGAGAGAAGGCATAGGGACCAATTGTAGATGACCTTTTTGAAGAGTTTAGTTTAAAAAGGGCAGAAGAAAAATAGAATGATAGTTAAGTAAGATAGAAGGGTCAATGAAGGGTTTTTTCCAGGATAGGGAAGGCATGGGCATGTTGTAGGCAGTGGGAAATGAGCCAGTAGAGAGAGACAGACTGAAGTTAAGGGAAAGTGTGGAGATGACAGAGGGGCACAATCTGTTGGAAGAGCTGGGATGTAACGGGAGCACTTGAGCAGGTGGAGAACTCAGCCTTGGTCAGGAGTAAGGCCACCTCATCACGGGAGACGGGGGTGAAGTGGCAGAAGTCGCCTGAGAGATTTGCCATTTCCTTCTCCAGCTCATTTTACAGATAAGGAAACTGAGGCAAACATCATTCAGTGACTTGCCCAGGGTCACACAGCTCATAAGTGTCTGAGGCTGGATTTGAACTCAGGAAGATGAGTCTTCCTGACTTCAGGCCCAGTGCTTTATCCACTGCACTACCTAGCTGCCCTACAACCAACATAGATGATGTTCATTTGTGGTCAATGTGCAGAGTGAGAGAAATTCTCAGGGCATTCCCCTCCCAGAATGATTCTTTTGGGTTTTTTTTTTTGGTTTTAAAAATAAATTTATTGATTGATATCTTTCGTTTTTACATGACCTACATTTCCCAACGTATCCTTCCCCATTTCCCTAGCCTTATAGCTAAGAAGAAAAAAGAAAAGAAAGTTAAGGAAAACTAACAACACATTGAAAAAGTCTGGCATTGTATATAATGTTGCACATCCATAGTTTCTTGCCTTTGCAAAGAAGCAGAGGAGATATCTTTTCATATCTCTTCTTTGGAGCCCAGCTGGGTCATGACTTTTTTTTTTCCCTTTTTTTTTTACCCTATTTATTTAGTGAGGCAATTGGGGTTAAGTGACTTGCCCAGAGTCACATGGCTAGTGAGTGTTATGTGTCTGAGGCCGGATTTGAACTCAGGCACTCCTGACTTCAGGGCCAGTGCTCCATCCAATTCACCACCCAGCTGCCCCAGCTTGGTCATGATTTCAAAGCATTCATTATTGATTGTATTGTTCTTTGCATTTACATGGTTGGAGTTATTGTATACGTTTTTTCTTGGTTTCACTTACTTTACTCTGGATCAGCTCATATAAATCTTCCTATGCTTCTCAATATTCATCTTATTAATAATTTCTTACAGCATAGTAATATTTCATTACATTCATATACCACAAATTGCTCAGCACATCCTCAGTGGAACACCTATTTTGTTTCCATTTCTTTGCTACCACAGAAATATTGCTATAAACATTTTGGTTTATGTGGGGCCCTTCTTTTTACCATTAATCTCTTTGGTATATGTGCATCTCCGGGGCAAAGGGTTAGGGTTAATCACTTTCTTTACAGAATGCCAATTGCTTTCCAGAAGTTGGGTTAATTTAAAAGAATGATTCTTTTGTGAAGGCAAACTAGGCCATCTTTCCCCTCAATTCTTGCCTAGCCTTTATTACTGAATGGGTGTTGTCTCAGACAAAGGGAGACTTGGGAAAGATCTTAGCTTAAAAAGGCCAAGGGGCCACTACCAGTCATCCTGATGTGGAAGAGGGAGTGGAGAGGGCTCATGACAAAGGACCTCAACTTTTTTTCTGCAAAATATGAGGCAAGGTTCTCAGCCGAGAGAGTGGGGGGAGGGAGAGCCATGTGAGGTTTGAGGAGGGATGAGAAGGTTTGGAACAGCCACTGTGGAGAGTATGAGAGTGAACTGAGAAGGGAGGCATATATAGCAGGATTGCCTTGCAGCAGTGAGGGCCCGCCTGAGGTTGAGCAACATAAACCTGTAGTAGACCCAGTCTCTACCTTTGTTCTGTGCACCTGTGTGGTGAATGGTGGGAGTGATGGAAGGCTGTGCCTTGACTGGGCATAATCAGGGAGAAGATAAGGTGATTCAAGGAGTACAGTGTAGAGTTGAATCGGTTTACCAACAGATTGAGATGGGGAGAAGAGAGAGCGGCTAGTGCAGGGTAAACGACCTGGGAGAGAACTGAGGGGTCAACATTGTGGATGAAGGGTATGGTTATAGAAGAGAAAGCAGAGGGAGAGGTGAAAAGTTTATAAGCAGGTAAGGGATTTTAGAACTCTGGAATGTAGAGGTGGTACCTGTGTGCGTAGATCAAGGGTAAGATCAAGGGTAGATCTTTGTGTATGGCTGAGGTGGGGTGGAGTAGTATCTCATGGAAGGTGAGCAGGCTAAGGAACTGAGCAGTTAGAGTATTTGAGAGAGGATGACTACACATGCTGAAGTCCCCTAGGATGAGGGCAGGCACTGGGGAGGAGAGCAAACTTTGTAAGCCAGGTAGCAAACTCATAGAGGAAGGAAGGAAAGTGACCTGGGGTTCTGTAGACAACAGCTACGAGGATTGTGATTGGGTGGAGCTGATGAAGAGCACGAACCTCACAGGAAGAGCTTACTGAGAGATAGAAGAAGGGGGAGAACCTGGAAGTGGCAATGGGGAGCCGGGAATATTCCAACTCGCCGCCCTGGACCAAGAGGCTGAGGAGAATGTGAACGTGCAGCCAGTGCTGGAACGGATGGTGAGGGAGGCTGTGTCGTCAGGGGCAACAGTCCCCTCCCTCAAACAGCTTACATTCTATGGGGGAAACTGTGTGTGTGTGTGTGTGTGTGTGTGTGTGTGTGTGTGTGTGTGTATGCATACATACACACATGTGTATGCATGAGGTACTGGGGCAGTAAGAGATGAGGAGGAAATGCATTCCAGGCATGAGGGATGGGAACACAGTCAAACAGAAGCAACTCTACTGACTTTAAAGCCTTTACAACTTGGCAGGGACCATGGGAGCAGAAGCATGATGTAGTAGAAAAAGTACCAAAGCCAGAAAATGTGAGTTCAAATGCTGACTCTGCTACTCACCACCTGCATAACCTTGGGCAGGCCCCTTCCCATCTTGGGGCCCCAAGTCCTCATCAGTGAGGAAAAGGGGGATTGGTTTAGATGGCTTCCAAGGTCCTTCCCAGCTCTGACCCTCTGCTGAGATAAGCAAGTTGCACACACTGTCAGATGCGGTCACTATATCAGTCATTTTTCTTTGCTCCAAAGGAGAGCTCAGTTTAGGGTATGTGGGGTCGGGTGGAGCAGGGCTAGCTGTATTCAAACAACTGATATAAAAGCAAAACACATCAATAAAACGTTAAAAGCAACTGGGGTAGGAGTGGCCTTGGTTTACTCCTGTGTTCTCCTGGGTGGTCTCTCTCTTTTTTGATGGATTTTCTTTTTCCTTTTGGAGGCTTCCTTACCCCTCCCTTGGGTGTGCGAGCTCACTGGGAAGTTCTCCCTTTACTGCTGGTATCACCCTCAGCCCATTGCTTTCCAGCCTGTGCACCTCTTGGGCATAAGTCTTCTAGAGAAGCATCAGGAAAATGGGGCTGGGTGGATGGATGGTTAGGACTAGATAATCTCTCTGGCCATCTCCACATGCAAAGGCTCATAATACTCCAAACCACACCACCCAAAGGTCTTTACAGGTCAGAACTCCACATGGAAAACATAGTCACAAGAGAGGACAAAGACACATTTCAATCTTTAAAAAATTTTATTATTGATAACTGCCAACGTGACTCTCTTTACACAGGCCGGCTGTTTCCTATAAATATTGGTTTTGGATTAATTTAAAAGTCATACTTTTGCACCCCCTAGACAACGGAGAGTTACCCAATCATGAAAATTCTACTCGTAAGAGTTCTCGTCCTCATTCTTTCTCCTCCTCTCCCAAAGAATGAGGACGTTTTTACCTCTTCAGGTCTGTGTAAAGGTTCCTTGGCAGGAGTACATGCATATGACTTTAAAATAAGGACCAATAATCCGCCGCTAAGGGTAATGCACAGAGAACAGAATACAGTACGTAGACATCATTTCAAATAAATACCCACATATAGACAGATGAAGTTATTTTAAATGCAACAATATTTCTTATAAATCAATACTGTAACAGAAGGTGAAAATAGAGAAGTCCCCACATCTAGGAATAATAATGTTTATTCCAGCACACAGAACTCATTTGTTCCTGCCATTCATATTATTGTTATTTATTATTATAATTTGTACTTTTTTGAGGAAAAAAAATGTCTTCTTCCTCCAGAAGTACCAATTCAATCATTCACAGGAGCCTCAACAAAAGCCCCGAGGCGCTTCTGTTGACGTCCTTTTTCGTTTCTGTTTCCTGGCATGACAATGATTAGATACCACATGCCAGAGAAGATATTAACGTCTTGCTTTCACATTCACAGAGAATGCTAATGGTTAAACGCGCCCACCGCTGCTGCCGTAGGAAGCGAACAGAATATCCACAGCTAACAGCCATCGGCGCTGCAACCAGCCGCGTCCTCTCTCCTTCACACGGCTTGTTTCCGTTCCCGAGTGTGCTCAGTGTTTTGCGTTTGCTTTTCTTTCTCAAGCCCTGCATCTGCCAGGATCTGCCTGGTAAAGTATCACTGACTAACAGAATTCTGCACAAGCTCTCGCCTCTCTGGGGTATAAAGGAACCCATTCCCAAAACCAAATGAGCTCGCTTAGTCTGTATTTATTGCTCCGCGTCTTCCCAATCCCCAACCAGCTCCTCCCGGTTCCTTTTTTTCAAGACTAAACTGTATCCTCGGATTCTCCCTCAAATTAGCAAAGGCACTACTGGCAACAATGAATAACAAAAAGGCGTTGCAATTGAACACCCTATAATTGACGACTTTAGAACTTTTCTTTCTAAATGTACCACAATTTGGCACAACAAACAAAGAGGTAACGAAATAATTCCAATTTGGAATTTCACTGGTACAGTTGTAGAAAATTCTGTTAATCAGTCATGCTTCCCGACTTCCTCCAACCCAGAATCTCTGGAATTTGCAGGTAATACTACTGCTTCCATCACTTTAATTTTATTTTGTTTTAACCAGAGCAAAGTCAAGTTTTCTTCTTGTTACATTGAACTATTCCTAAGAATAATAATACAATATGAAAAAACCCCAGAATTTGAATACCCTGGATTTCTTAATGAACATGGCAGTTAAAAATCAGTCATTTAAAACACAAACCATAACATTTCATGATTAAAAAAGGCTGCTGAAGCACAGCACGTAACAGTTTAGCAGAGCCACCCCACCTGAGCTGGGGCTCTCATCTAAACAGAGTCTAGAGCAAAAACAACCCAAAAAAGCGTACAAAGTTCTGCAACATGCCTCTGGAGAAATCAACGAGTACAAATGCATGATGGAGACCTACTGTGAGCACAAGCCATTGCTTCTCCTAGATCTTTTCCACATGAGGAATTAAGGAAGCTAATACAATATCAAAATATCAAAAGTGCACAGGTTTAACAATCAGATAAGAAAGGAATATAGGTCACAACAAAAACTGCTTCCCCCAACAGTCCCCCCCACCCCCAACCCCGTCCGAACGTTTCTAGTAGACTCATTGTTCGTTCGAAGGCATTTCTTCAGCACTTGTAAAAAATGTTTCCTGCAGCAATATCAGCCCATGAGGTGTATGGGTTTTCTCTTTCCAGCCCAGGATATGCAATTTTGAAAATGAGTGCAGGTAGTATATTCATGAGAAAAAGAAAAAAGAGAGAGTGGAAATTTGGGATTTCGTCCGTTCCTTTGGGCAACCAGAGCTCCCTGGGCTGGTTTAGCCGCCAAGCACGAGCAGCTTAAGAAACTTGCAATTTGACCGAGGGCACTGAAGGCCAATTCCGTCTCCGGATACTACTCTACAGCTGAAAATGGGGGGGAAAAATGAAATCATATTAGAAAAAACAGGTTCCTTATCCCATTAAGAGGCTTCACTGATAGATATACTGATAGCCTGCGAGAGCTACAGAGCGAGTTAGTGGGGTGGCGAGAAAGGACCCAAGTGTTTGTCTGTTAGAAGGGCAGCCCCTGAACTGGGGGTGGAGGGGAGTGAGGTGGGGGAGCTGCCCAAGCACTGGAAACCAAGAGGGCCAGGCAGAACTGTGCTGGGGCTTGCCATTTGCTGAAAAAGATTTCTTACAAGTACTGAATGGAGAGGCTGGAGGAGCAAGGGGCCAGCTGGGAAGAAGCATCAGAAGGTTTATCAGTGAAGCTAAACGGTCTCTGGAAAAACATGCAGGAGGTGTGGGTCATGCGAGCCAACGCCGAAATCCAACCGACAGGAGCCTGCTTGTGGAGGTAGGTGGTGGCGGAAGAAATTTCCCATGTTAAAAATCCGCAAAGAGCCAAGTAAGTAGAGGCTGAGACTGGACACACACCAAGCCCAGGAGAAAAGAGCAAAAGACCGGACAAGCCCCACAGCCTTTCACAGAGCATCATCTACACGTGCAGCCACACCGGCAGGAGGGATTCATTTTCTCACAACTGTGTCAGGTGACTACTTCAGGTCTGGACCCAAACCCAAACATCTGGCGACTACTTTGAGAAACGATGGAGGCTGAAGACAACCAGACAAGCATGGAAACAGTCACACCATCTCGGGTCCCCTGATAACACTGATCCCTTTTTAGAAGAATCTCAGGGACTCTGAAAGCCTCCCTGGGCAGCACATCTGATCTCCTGACATGTGTCCTTGAACCATCAGGCTTCCCCTTAGAGGCAGAGGCCCTCTGGGACTGGGTGCCCGTGGGAGCAGCTTCCTGCCCCAAAGGGAAACACCAGCAGCAGCTTGGAGCAAGGAGCCACCTGGTGCCGAATGATCTAGTATGCAGGAAGGAGGAGAAAAATAAAGGCTGACAGGGCCGCGGTAGGGGGGCACGGAGAGGGGATCAGTACAGCAGCAGAATTAGTACATGGGCTGCTAAAATGACATAAGCTGCTCATTAGCAAAATTAAAGTCCTAATTCATGAAAATTAGCGCTTATTATAGGAGACAGAATATATACTGAGCTTTCTTGTTCTTTTTTTCAGATCTCAGTTATTTTCCAAGAAGAATTTAGTTATTGGGGGGGAAAAAAACAAAAACCAAGACAAAACCCTGCTTCTCCAATCTGATCCTGATGTCAGCCCTGGAAACCACAACGGTGATTTCCATTTTTAGCAGGTTCCAGATGTTAAAAAAGTAACAGGGCTCCCCATAGAAAAGGAAGGTAGGGGTGTCAGGCACTTACAAAAAAAAAAAAAAGAAAAAGAAAAACCAACTATGTGCCTCCTTCTGCCTCACCAAACCTCCAGACCCTCCACAGAAGCAGCAGCTTCCACTCTTCCATAGCCCTCCAGGCACCAATCCTACAGGCCCTTTTGTTTGGTTTTGGTTCTTGGGAAATTGGCCTGAAGTGCTTAAAATTCTGGAAAGTGTCCGAGTCACCAGAGTTCTCCAGTGGGCTGACAGCCTTGGTCAGGAGTCAGCGTTAGCAAGATGAACTGGTTTAATTTCCTGGGCCTACAGCTTGCTCTGCTTGCATAATCTCTGTGTGTGTGTGTGTGTAAGAATTCTTTCTTCCTCAACTTACAAAAACCTGCCTCCTCTATGTGCTCGGGAAAGCTGAGCCAGGACAAGCACACAGGGAACAGGCCAGGTCTCACACTCATTCCTACCCACACTGACCTAGCTAAGCTCATGTGTGGACGGCCTGTGGACACAGAATTTCTTTCCCTACATACCACATGCTGCAAGAGACTACCGAAGGCTGGCCACGAGCCACTCTGTCAAGAGACAGACACCCTACTACCTTATGTCATATTCCCGAGGGGGGGTCAATTGCATAACTTTGATAATATACATGAATACATAACATGAAATGTGCAAGTTTGGGAGACTCCACCTGTCTCCCAGCCACCTCCTGGAAGCTGAGCCAATCATCTTTCCCTCCAATGACCGTAATTGCCAGTGGCCCAGCTTTCCACTGATGGGTAAGTCATGAACCTCTTTTTCAACGCAGAACACCGTTGTCTGTGACAAATGCCTGATTTTCCACACTGTCCTGCCACAATTTCTGGGACCACCTCATCATCTCCAGCCTGTCTGTTTGTCTGAAAAGGAGGCTGGGAAGTCTGACGTGTGCTTAACACAGCCCAGGAAGGGGTGGAGGTCATGTTTGTGCTCTACAGACTACAGCTAGTGCCACCCAACGTATACAGATTTGAGGACACGCTCCCTTTAATACAAAAGAAAAAAAGGACCCCCCCATCCATGTTCACGGTGGAAGGGGTTCAGTCCCCACTACAATAACCGTGCAACTAGTGACATCCCCCTTACACATGAATTACTCATCGTCAAGACTGGCATAATGCAACGTGTATGACGCGGTTGGTAAGGATAAATTAGCAACAGCCTCCATCACTGAAATGTTAGTGGGGCATTAAGCAGACAACAGAGACAGCAGATGGTTAGATGTGCATACCATCCCATGCGGCTTCCCAAGAGCCACCCTAGTCACAATAAATCTTATACTTCTCACTGCAGAACACCTGGTTGCCGAGCACGGCCCCCTCAGGCCTGTCCGCACAGGACCGGAGGTGACTTACACTTGGGGTGCTGCTCTTGCCTTTGGAGGCCGACTTGGTGCGCCCCCTCTTTGCCTGCTCATGGTCGAGCTCCAGGTGCTCCAGCCGCTGCGTCAGGGCCAGCTTCTGCTGGATGGCCATGCGCAGCAGGGAGTTCAGGGTTTTCTTCTCGTCCTCCGCGGCCGCGAGCTGACGCTGCATCTCGTCCAGCTGGGTGACGTACTCGTCACATCTGCAATGACAAGGGACGAGAGAAGCCTTCAAAATGACCACCGCTGCGCACTGGGAGAACTCTCTGGGAGTTCAGCGGGTGAGAAGCCAGAGGCGGGATGGCGCAAGGGTCAGCTCAGAGGTAGCGCCCAGTGGAGTGCCCAGGCTCCCCACACCCCTCCCACACAGCTAACGAGGAAGCAAGCACGTGAGGGCTGCCCTCTGCCTCCCAGTCCGGCACTTAACGGTGGAAAGGCCACCAGCACTGGGCACAGATGCCTTCTAAGGGCAGGCCTTCCCAGCCCCAAGATTCTGGAGTTCTGTGAATCACAGAATCTGAGAGTAGCCTCTAATACTGCCCACATATGAAAGGAACTCCCAGACAAGTGGTCATCCAATTTCTGCTTGGAGCCAGCTAGGTGGTGCAGCAGATAGAGTGCTGGACTTTCAACTAGGAAGACCTGAGTTCAAATGCAGCCCCAGTCACTTAACTTTTAACTTAAACCTGCCTCAGTTTCCTCAGCTGTAGCCTCTCAGGGTCATAGAGAGGTTAGAATGAGACAAAGCATTTTGCAAACCTTGAAGTGTTAATATAAATGCTGGCCACTCTTATTGTTATTGGAGACCTTCCAGGGGAACCTGCCAGCCCTTGGGCAGTTACACTTCAGGATGGCTCTAAGGTTAAGAAGCCTTACAAACACTAGGCTGGTTTCCTGCTCACAACATATCCTCAGGTCACCCCCACCAGTCCCAGGACTCAGGCTGTTTAAAACAGCAAGAACCCCATGATGACCACCAGGGGGAGACAGAACCCAGCAGTGCGGTCAACAAAGGGTTAGGATATATTGGTTTTTCCCAAGGCCAGTCTCCATGAGTTTCTATTCTCTGATGTAAACCTAGTGTTTTTAAGGGCTTAGAGGGCTATAGATTGAGAGGGCTGCCCAGGATTGGAGGACCACAAATCTAGGGAAGGAAGGAATGGAAAGGTCTGAGGCATCAAGCAACTTGTCCAAGACCTCACGGGGGGGTTAGTAAATGAGGCAGGATTGGAACCCAGGTCTTCCTGATGCCAAGCCCGGTGCTCTATCCACTCCCTAATTTCCTCAAAGTCATACTACTAAGTCAATCTTGGGAAAGCTCAATTCATAATGCCACTTCTGTTTGCATTTCTTAAAAAACAAAGAACCCCTATGCTTTCAAGTTTACAAAGAGCTTTTGCCACAACTGTCCTGTCAGAGAGGCAGGCAGTACAATTATGTCAGCTATTATGCCCATTTTACAGATGAGAAAAGAGTGAGGGATGCTGAAGTTTTATGAGGCCTTCTGACTCCAAGGCCGGTGCTCCCTCCTACGAGTCTGCATGGGTACTTCTACAGAGGCCCGTGTCAGCCCTATCCCTGCCTGAGGACTGGCTGAGAGAGTACCGTTTCCAGGGAATGTTTACTTATTCTCAGAGGTCAGAGGGGTATGATTTCTTCTCATAATCCTTCACAAAAACTATGTTTCTGGGAAGAGCTTCTGGCCACAAGGAGGCTGCTAGTCCCAATCTGGAAACTAATTTAACTAAAATGATAATAAAAATGCCTTCCATTTATCCATTGCATACATACATGTGCGTCTATGTCAAGGGTGGACAACCCAGAGAACAATTAATCAGGTGGATACCACTTTGTGACACCACTTAACCTGCTGTCTCAAACTGCTATTTTCAATACAACCACTCACGTAGGGGTCTTTTGTCCCAAATTAGACCGATGACTTCCTAAGTTCCGTAACTGTGTCTGGCTTATATTTCTTTGCATTAACCAGGCCTAATCCTTGGAACGTGAGAAAACACTGAAACCAAATCCGAGCAGGCTCTGCTGTTGGCTGTGCTGTTTCATTTATAAAATGAACGGCCTCCAAAGGTCCTTCCAGGTCCCACGCTCCATGAGACCACAGGGTGATGGATCCCAGTTCTAATACTTCTAGCTGTGTGATCACTGGCAGGTTATCTAGAGTCAGATGGGTTCAAATCCAGCCTCCTCTCACTGACTCCCTGGTTGACTCTGGACTCCATCATCCCTAAGCTCCCTGCCAGCTTAGGTCTAGGATGCAGTGATCCAAACAAATGCCATGAACGTTCATCTTCTAAAACAAACTCCCAGGTATTCATAAGCATTGGACTCCAAACAGCTCCTGCTTACAATGGAGGGCCAAGGGACAGGCACCGAGCTCTGAGCTGGACGGGCTGCACGGCTCAGAGACAGGTGATGGAAGAAGAGGAGTCTCACAGAACCTCCTGAGGAGGCTGCAATCAAGACCATTTGTATCTTTTCTGTAGTTTCTACAGAAAGTCCTTTCGTGGCCTAGAAGGAACTCACTAAGGATTTCCCATTGCAGCGCCATTGTCAGCATGGAGACACAACCTGGCAGCCGGCAATCCCACATGGGAGGCTTGTTTCTAGGCCACCACCAGCAGCGGTCCTCACTGCAGATTCACGCTGCATTCCAACCCTAATTAAAGGGCTTTAGCACCTTGTGAAATCCCAGGGCAGGCTTCTTCCCTGCGGCAGATCACAGGGGAATGGGCCTCCTCTGATTCTGAGCTCTGACTCCCCCCCCACCCCTTCCCCTTGCTTGGCTTATGGACGATGGGACCACCCGACACTCCAAGCAGGAAAGCTTTCCCCTCAGACCTGCCTCAACAACCAGAACGTGAGAATGGGATTAAAAAAAGAAACCCCTAAATACTCTCACCACAGCACCAAATAGTGAGAATGTTTCTCCTGGCCCTTTCTCTTGCCCGCCCCCCACCTCACTCTCTCCAATCTCTGGATGTAATCCCTCCATCTGCCATGCCTGGTCTCCCGGGGCACTCTGAATTGCCTTCAGAAGGCCCAAGGCTCCCAAGTTATCAAGAGGAGGACAATGAGGCCAACCCCCACTGGTCACTCGGGCCCCGGCCTCTCTCCTTCCTTCAGCCTTGCTGAAGCCCCCGCCACGGGTGGCTGGGGCAGTGGCCGTGGCCACAAGGCAGCTCAGGGAGCCCCTTGCTGATCGGGGCTCAAGGGTACCATCCCAGGAAGCTCTCCTCTCTTCTTCCCTTCCTTCCTACAGCTTGGAAGGCCCATTCCTCCAGGGAGCTGTTTGCCCATGAGAAGGCCATGGGCGGGATGCCAGGTGCGGTCCCCAAATTCTGGGGCATCAGCACCTGCCTCAGCCATTTGTTGAAGTAAAGATTTACTCGGCAGAGAAAAGGCCAGCTCTCTGGGGGCAGGCAGGGCAGCCCATTCCCCGAGGTGTGCCCACTGAGGTGACCTCATTTCACCCTAGAATATCAGGCCAGAACAGGGGAGTGGAAGCGAGCCTGAGCACCAGGCTCTCCTTGAAGAAAAGTCAGGCAAGGAAAGGCCGATTTCTTCCCTGGCAAGGACTTCCAGACCCAGGACAAGAACTGCCTCGCTGATGAGGAGATGATGCTTTAAAGCGCTCTCTCTCTCTCTCTCTCTCTCTCTCTCTCTCTCTCTCACCCACACAACGTGCTGACCAGGCCGCCTCCTTCATTTGGCTGGCACAAGGGACTGGGGTCAGACTTCAAATCCTTGTACTTTCTCAGCCTCGGTTCCCCCTTCTGTATAATGGGATAATAATAACAGCCACTACACGCCCTAAAGCCCTGTATATACATGCCTGCTGTTATTATTTATGGTTTGGTTTATCTTTACTGATAAACAAAAGAAATAACCTCTCTTTAGGCCTTAACACTTACAGAGCAATCTCCTCAGAACTACCCGGGGAGGTTCAATGGTGCAAGTGCCATCGTCCCCATTTTACAGATGAGGAAACTGAGGCTTAGCTCATAAAGCATCATCAGAGCTGGGATTGGAACCTGGCTACAGGGGCCTCTCCATCACACCCAATGTGTGACTCGAATGAGCCTGGCATGGCAGGCTCAGTGAGGCCCCTGGGCCCTCATCCTCAGGACCCCTGAGGGCTGGGCAGCGAAGGCAAAGGGGGGGGGTTACCTGGTGGCAAACATGGCCCGCAGTGAAGAGAAGGTTGCGGCATCCTCCTTGAGGGCTTTCAGCTCATTCCGGAGTTTCATCATGGTCTCTGTCACCATGGCCTTCTCATTCTCGTATTTGCTCTTCAGGTTGGCCAGGGCCACTTCAGCTGTCTGGGGGGGAACGAGGAGAGGAGAGATGTGTCTGAGTGACAGGGGCCCGTGGCTCTAGGAAAGTGGAGAGCCTCACGTTTGCCCCTGCCAGCAGCTACTTCATCCTCCCCAACCTTGCGTGGCCCCGATCGAGGTCCCAGACTCACAGCACCTCACAGCTGGAAGGGATCCAGCTGGGGTCACCCCCCATCCCCCCAGAAGAGCCCTCCCTACAACCTGCCTGATGTGGGACCACTCGAGCTTCTGCTCGATGGCCTCCAGTGAGGGCAGAACTCTGAGCGGGAAGTCCGCTTCTCCGGAAATGCTTAAGACGGGTCGGAGAAAGGACTTTAATGCCAGGAAATCTGCTGGGGAGAGGAGCGTGAGAGTGTGCACGTGCTCGTGCGTGTGTGTATGCGTGTATATATGTGTGTGTGTGTGTGTGTGTGTGTGTGTGTGTGTGTGTGTGTGTGTGTGTGTGTGTGTCCCCTGAAGACCTCAGCTTCCATGGCAGCAGGGCTCCTGCCAACGTGGCCAGGACCCACCAACCTGGGATTCCCCTCTCTCATGAGCTACAAGGCTTCTTTAACCCAGGCTTAGCAGACAGAGCGAGCATGCCACTTTCTTGGGGACGGAGCTGCCCAGATGGTTGGCATCAATGCTCTGCCGCCCCTGACCTCAGGATCACGGGAGGAGAGATGGGGGGACCCCAGAGGCCGTTGTCTTGTCCGACCCTGACATTTTATAGGAGCACGCTGAGGCCGAGGAGGTCGCAGCATCACAGGCCTGGAAGGGACCTCAGGCCACCTAGTGCAGCCTCCTCACCGAGGCCTGAGGTGATGAAGGGAGCTGCTCAAAGTCCTGCTGGAGCAGCAGAGGCCAGCCCTGACGTGGGTCCTCTGCCTGGGCAGCGCCCTCGAGCGCTCTCCTGGCCACAGACTCCAGGGCCCAAGCTCGCCTCGCCTGCGTGCTATTCACTATTTATAACTTATAATTTATAACATAATACTATTTACTTATTTATAATTTATTTATTAGGGAAGGGAGTAACACGGTTAGATGTGAAAGGACACAGGCGATCACCCAAGCTTCTTTGCTAGACTGGATTCTCTGCCATGACGTTCAGGCATCCGTGGCGCTCTACCACACGAGAGAGCCTGAGCCCCGTTTTGGCTTAACCTTCTCAGACCCAGAAACACTATCAAGAATCCCTGCCCTCTGCTTCACGGAGAAGTCTTTCGTTCCACTGTGCCAAACCACCACCTTAACAACCATAAAACGGCTCTCGTCTGTCTGTACTGGCCTTCAGTCTCCAGCATCCTGGTCTGGGAAACGAGTTCCTTCCTGATCACCATCTTTTTTCCTCCCCTAACCAACAGAATGGGAACTCCGGGAGAGCCAGGTGAAGGACGCCGTGTTCTTCTCTTTCTAGCCCCAGCACCAGGTACAATGTCCAATTTAATGTAAGATGAGTTTATGCATTTCCCCTTCAACTCATAAACCGTCACTCTCAAACACCTTCCCTCACCCCTGGGGAAGACAAAACATTCTTCACAGTGACTGCAGACACCAGTGCCAAAGGCGGCAGGTTCCCCAATGTGCGTATTCAGGAGGAGACCTGTACCCAGCACACAGTAGGCTCTTAAAAAATGTGTGGTGGTTAACTAAGAGTAACAAAGACCTGGCAGTCATCCCACTGGCTGGAAATCACTGAACAGAGGGGATGTTCCTGCGCTGTAAGAAAGGATGATGGAGAAAACCCGAGAAGCCTGGGAAGATGCCCATGGGCTGATGCCTCCTTCAGGGTAAGGTGCCACGGCTCCGCTCCATTGTGATTGTCTATTACATTGGAGAGGTGCTTAGAAAGGGACCCGAAAGATGGCCCCATCCCCCATGAGCCCCTTAGTAGAGGCGTTTTAGGGGGCTTCAAATGATAGGGGGCTGGTGAAGACAGAAGGTATGTGGGCACTGAGCACCTGGGGCCTGGGGGTGGTGGGGAGGAGGCCAAAGGAAGAAGGGGAAACTGAGGCAAACTCCTCTGGCTCCATCATCTTGCCAGAGTCTGTCTTTCCCTCTCCAAACTCTATGTGAATACATGACTCCTCCCCGTGCCATGAGCCAGTGTTCCTCTTCCCAAGCAGCAAAGACCTGCCATGCTTGTGCTCTGAGGGCAAAGAGCCTGAGCACCCCCAGCAAGGAAGGAGATGGTGGGCCTGGACGCCAAAGACACCCACAGGAACCCTTCAAAAGGTAGCTGCTTCCAGGGAGCGGTTCTGGTCCCACCCAGAATTCTGGCCAGCAGGGAAGGGGCCGGGGCCCCGGCGGGTACCGCCGGGTGTCACGCGCAGCCCTCACCCTGCCCTGCGCCTTACCTGCTTGTTGGCCTTTAGCACAGTCCTCAGGGTGGCGATCTGCTCCCGCTTGGTGCTCAGCAGAGACTTCAGCTTCAGGATCTCCTCCATCAGGGCTTCCTTGTCCTTGTCCACGACGGGCCCCAGCTCCTGCGCGGCCACGCGCTGGCGGGACAGCTCCACGGTGCGGTCCACGGCCGCCTGCAGGTGCTTGATCTGGTCCCGGATGATGGCAATCAGGTTGTAGATGTTCATGGGCTCCTTGCGGGGGTCTGCCACGGGGGAGGGCAGGGAGGAGCTGGGGGAGGGTGAGCCGTCGCCGCTCGCGTTGTCTGCCTTGCCCAGGTCGATGGCCAGGAGCCCCTTGGAGAGCAGGACGGGTGAGCGCCTGCCCCTGCCTTCGGGGCTGCCACGCCCGCCACCCCTGCCCTCCTTGTAGTAATCCAGCATCACTCTGTTGGGGGTCTCGTTGTTACACATGCACACGTGGTGGTAAAGGTTGGCCAGCTCCTCGCTGAAGGTCACCAGCTCGTCCTGGGCCACGCTCAGGCTGCCCTGTGTCTCTCCGGCCACGTCGCTCACCTTCTTCAGCTCCTTCTCCAGCCGGGCCAGGTGCTCTCGGTCCAGACGGCCGGCCTTCTCCAGCAGTGCGATCTTCTCCGTCAGGGCCTGGCCCTCCGTCTCATAGCGGCCCTTTTCCTCCTCGTACCGAGACGCACACTCCTCGTAGCGGCCCTTCAGCACCTTCAGCTCCTCCCGCAGGTCACCCATCTCCGCCACGGCCACCTTGTACTTGCACTCCAGGATCTCGGGGCCGTTGATGTCCACCTCGTAGTAGTCGCCATCCTCGTGGCTGTCGCGCTCCTTTTCGTTGTCCAGCGCCGACTGGCGCTCCTTGCTGACCCGGAGCTTCTTCATGGCCGTGAGGTTCTCAGTCAGACGGCTGACCTTCTCGTGCTGCTCAGACAGGGCTCCCCGTGTGGACTCGAGCTGTTTCTGGGACTCCTGCAGCGTCGAAAGCAGGGTCATCTTTTCTCGCTCCATCTGAAAAAGCACAAACCAGAACCGTGATTCTGTTGGCCATCGTCTCGTCTCAAAGGCAGAAGCCACATGGCCAGTCGAGGGGCCAGGACAACCGACAGTCCCATTTCTCCCTCTGCAGCAATGCAACGGACCCTCAAACACTGGGGACCAAAGGAAAAGAAAGATGACGCCCATGAGCCTTCCCCCCGCGCCACCGCAAATGGCGCCACACAGATGTTCAGAGCACTTTTAGAACCAGGAACAGAAACGCCCACAGTATTATTCTGCCTCCACCTCATGAGGCCCACAGAGGGAGGAGACCAGGACAGGTGACCTGATGAGGTGCAGACGGGGTCAGTTCTGCTTGTGACCCCGAGAAGGTCACAGCGGCCCTCCCTCTCCGCTTAGCCTTTCGGGATCCACTAGTTACGTGGGATCCCCTCATCTGCACGGACCCCTCGGCGAGTTCTCCCATACTAACCACAGGGAGACCTGAAGCCAAGCAGACTAGGAGCGGCTAACCATAGGGTGCCCTGCCTTCTTGGAACGTCTCCCTGGGAGGTCTGGGCCAAAGAGAATCCACAGCCCACTAAAGACGGCTCACGCATCACCTCCTCCACAAGACCCTTGGGGATCCTCTGAGCTGTTGGGGCCTCTGCCCAGGAGCTCTGGAAGTGACACTCAATTTCCTTACTGGTGTGAATGTCATTTCTCCTAAGAGAACATAAGCACCTCGAGGACAGGCACAATTGTCCTTCTTGTCTTTTTTACATCGTAGTCTCAGACCTGGCACACAGTAGGTGCTTAATGCTCGCTGATTCCAATAGTATAAGATGAGGGGGAACAGAAGGCCTGCGAGAGGTGGCGGGCTACAAGTGTGGAATGAGGCACACGTGGTCAGATTTGTTCTTCTGAACTGTAATTCTGTGTTACAAAGGAGGGTGATTGGGGAGGGCATTTGAAAGGGATGGTGATTTTATTTCACATGTATAATTGATATCATATCGCTTGCCCTCTCAGTGGGTGGGGGGACAATTTGGAACTCAAAAATGAAAAAGAAAAGCATGCTGAAAATGAATAATAAATTCTTTAAAAAAGAGAGAGCAATGTGATTTTAAGGAAGAACCGTCTACCAAGACCATGTTAAGCCAAAAAGGCCGAAGGATCCAGGCAGAGGACGGGCCTGGGTGACTCCCCTCTGGGCAGGGCCGCTCACCTGCACCAGCTGCTGCTTCAGCTTCTGGATCTCCGAGATGTTGAGCTCGCTGAGCAGGTCAGACACCAGGCTGGGCGCCGGCAGGAGGCCCTCCTCCTTCTTGGGCGTGGACGTCTTGTTGCTGTCGCAGGCCGCGCCTTGTGCAGGCCGTTCTGCTCAAAGCCGTTGACCAGGACCTCGTCGTTGTTGGGCTCGGCCGCCTCGTCGCTGAACTTGAGGCCGTCCAGAGAGAAGCTCAGGTGGCTGGTGTACATGGAGTCGTTGATGTTCATGTAGTGGGACAGCTCCTTGCGAAGGCTGTTCTTCTGCTCGCGCTCTGTCTTCAGGGTCTCCAGCGACTCCTCCAGCTGGCGCTCGGCGATCTCCTTGAGGCGGATTGCGTCCTCCAGCTGGCTGTTGAGGTACTCCGTCTCCTCTTCCAGCCGTTTGATTTCATGTTTGAGGCCTTCAAACTCCACCTGGGAGGAGAGCACACAAAAAAGCCACAGTCAGACACGGAGGGCCCACATTCCTCCCCTGGCCTCAAGGGAAGCCTGGGACTGAATGCCTCGTCAGCCGGGGCTCACAGGCCGCTCCGGCATGGCCCCTGGGAGCTGACAGGACGAGCAAGGGAAGGGCCAGCTGGGAGCGAGCGCGTGAGCAGTCAGAGTCTGGACGGCAGAGGCAGCAGCGGCCCGCCCCCACCCGCCACCCTGCCGCCCTCATGGGCATGAGCCTGGTCTTATTACTGGCTCCTCTGGGAATGACTGGGGATGGACTACGGCCTCCCTGTCTGAAGGACGCGAGCTTCTTGAGGGCAGGCACTTTGTAGCTCACTGCGCTCCAACAAGAGACAGCCAAAAGGTCAGAGTAAGGTGTGTGAACGGGAGAGAAAATTCATGTCGAAGACTTGGGTTAGAAGGTAAGGAAGAAGGAAGAAGGGGGCCCGGCCCTTCCTCACAGGCTGGGGAGCTGCAAATGTATCATCCCCCCAGTGCTACCCACGGTGGTCTGCTTGGCTGGATCTCACTGACGACCATCAGGGCAGCGGCTCTGAGTGGCAGAGTCACAGGGATGTCAGGCCTCAGAGCCTCCCTCCCCCACATGTGGTCTTCAGCCTTCTCCTGGACCTCCAGTGAGGGTTATTTTAATCATTGTTAGGCTCGTATTTTTTTTCCTCCTGACATCCAGCTCTAATCTCCTTCTCTGAAGTTTCTGTCCCTTGCTTCTGGTTCTGGTTTTTGGGCCCAGGCAGAATATAAAAGCCTGCCCGATGGGAGAGCCGTCCCAAAGTGGGACGCATGTGGCCTCGAGGTGATGGGGTCCCCCCTCCCTTGGAGGCCTTCAAACAGAACATTATCGAGGGGATTCATTTTACCTCCAGGGTGGGGAGCCTGTGGCCTCCAGGCCCCACGTGGCCCTCTATGTCCTCAAGTGCGGCCCTTTGACTGAATCCAAACAAATTTGTTCCATGAAGTTTGATTCGGGGCCATGTGGGGCCCCCCACCCCTGGGCTAGACGCTCGCTGAGACTTCTAACTCTGACATTCTTCCACTCTGTGAAATACTTGGACACATCACCGTGTCTTCCCTAATTCCCTACAATGATCCTCTTGAGGCCAGGTGTCCCGTGTCCTCCCCATCCTGCTGTCTTCCCTGGATATACTCCAGCTTCTCCATGTCCTCCCTAAAATGGGGGACGTGGTGTAACTGAATCTACCAGATGTGGTCTGACCAGGCAGAATGCACTAGGGCAACCACCTCTGCTGACCCGGATACTACGCCTCCCTGAAGCTTGGGGTCCACTAAGACCCCCCTGATCCTTTTCACATATCTGCTGTTTGGCCACGCCTCCCCATGTGAAGCTGCTGTTTTGAATACACATACAAGTGTTTTACTCTTCTAATTAAGGTACGGCCCTATATTCTAGCCTGGCTCCCGACTACCCCCCAGGGCTAGACAGAGCAGCATCCCACTGGATGGAGACAGGGAAAGAAGCCCTTCCCTGGCCTGACCATGGAGGGAGGGGGAGGGAGCAGGCCGAGCCTCACTGCACAAGGGCCACTCTGACCACCGACTCTTCTGCTACTTACTTGGTTTTGCTTCAGGATGGACACTTGTTTCTGGAGGCAGATGTTTTCCTCCTCGAGTTCTGTGTAGTCCTGCAGCAGGCGGGCTTCTCGGAACTTGTACTCCTTGATGTCATCTCGCAAGCGTGCCCTCTGGATCTCCACATTCTGGTTGATCTGCCGGGAAACAGCCGCACACGGAGGTTATGGAGAGCCGCTGCTTGGGGAGAGTCTCTGGACACAAGGACACCCAAAGTACTATGGGCGGGGGTAGGGTTTGAGGGAGCTCAGCTCAAAGCCCTCAGAACAGTGGAATTATTCATATTTTGTCTGGGGGAGGGGGAGAAGGGGGCTTTTGTTACAAAAGAATATTCAATGGACTGCTCTGCATATCTCAAGAGCTCATTAAAGGCATTTTCATTTCCTTGTTTAAGTATTTTAAAAAGCAAACCTTGTGATCTAACTTTTTTGAGGGGCCCCTCTGAGCTACCAGGACTCCCCCCCCCCCCCCGCCCGAGCCTGAGCAGTCACCCAGGGCAATCCTGGCTTCGTTTCAGGGTGGTCTATGGAGCCCACCCTGACCTAGAGGAACTGCATTACCCCGCCCAGGATGACAGATCTGCCTCAATTTGATGCATAAAAACAACACTGTCTACAATAATAACACTTCTCATTTATCCAGCCAACAGTTATATAGCCATTTAAGGTCTGCAAGATGCTCCAGCTAATGCACCTTCACATTCATCTCATTTTGGCACAGGCTGGATCACTGACAAAAGTTGGCTTCAGCCTGCCTCCCTATCTGTGCTGGCAAATCTACCAATCCCCGAGTCACCCAAGTCTACTACCCTGAGACGTCCTCGGCTAGCTCCTGCCTCCCCCCACCCTATTCAATTATTGCCAGAGCTCCTTGATTCTCTCTCTGTCTGTCTCTGCCTTCCCTCTCCTTCCCCCTCTCCCCAGAGAGCCACAAGCCTCACTCTGGCCCCGTCACTCACAGCCTTGATGATTTTTCATAGGAGACAGGTCTTCTTGATCCCCACACCTTGTATTCTTCCCAACCAGGACCTTTCCTGCGCATGCTCTTCTCTGATCCCTCAAACACGGAGTCAGTCAGTCCTTGCCTCTCTCTGGCCACTCTCCTTCGGAGGACTCTTCCTCTCCCACAGATTCAATGACCACCTGGTCTATGCAGCCAGCTTTCCAGTACACTCGGCCACTCCTGACCTCCTCAGAACTCAGGCTGCCCCTATACATTCCAACCTTGGCACGTCCAAACTGGAAGTCATCGCCTTTCTCCTTAATGTCTCTCTTCCAGTGAACAGCCCGATCTGTCCTTCCCTCAGACACTCAAGCTTGAGGGTGACTGTGTAGTTAGTTGTCTTTAACACATCCTTGCTGTCCATTCTACAAACTGGTCTGTGGCCAAGCTGACTGCCAAGGAGGCGCCTGCCTTCCTTGCACTTTCCCCATCCCCCCTTTCCAACCTGGCTACCTGGAGATCCTTATTAAGTAGGGTTTGGGCTCTAGAGGCCGGCTCTATCGGAGGACTGGCACCTTCAACACTGGCACCTTCCACATTTCAGGAGCACATCAACTTTAAAAGAAAAGTATACTAAAATACCTACTATGTGTCGAGGCTCAATGCTAAGAACTGGAGAGAGAAGGAGCTCATAATCTACCGGAGGGGTCTACACGAAGAGCCAGGATCAGAATGAGACTCCACAGAGGACAAAGAAGTTTTCTCTTCTTTCAACAACCCCATGAGGTAGATTTTTTTGGCGGGGGGGGAGGTGAGGCAATTGGGGTTAAGTGACTTGCCCAGGATCACACAGCTAGTGAGTGTTATGTGCCTGAGGTCGGATTTGAACTCAAGACCTCCTGCCTCCAGGGCAGGTGCTCTATCCACTGCACCACCTAGCTGTCCTGTCTTTCAAGACCAGGTTTAGGCACCACTTCCTCCAGGAAGTCTGTTTTGACTTCCTCACCAACCCCCACCCCCTTAATAAATATCTCATCCTGCCTTCTTCAAATCTCTTCTGGGTACTTAATAAAATTACAGAATTTTGGGGCTAGGAGAGATCTCAGAAGTACAGTCTAAGCCTTCATTTTACAGATAAGTAAACTGAGGCTCTGAGAGAAGAGACTTGCCCAAGCTTACAATAAAAGCTAGTGCTCAAAATCATCCTGTTGTAGCCAGTGATGAGCGTGTCATCTCACAAACAGACCCTCTGAATTTCGATATTCTGGTTCATCTGGGAAAGGGCAGCATGAGCGAGAGAGGCCGCAGTCGAGAAGGCCGGGGTCTGGCCAGCATGACATGCGGTGGGCTCGGGCCCCCTGTCCCCTTCCCCCACCCCCCACAGCACCACAATGGCCTCCCAGCTCCAGCTGCCCCCCCACCGACCCATCCTTCAGACACTGGCCAGATCCCTCACTGGATGACCTTGGCTGGCTCGCCACTGCAGGACGCAGGCCAAGCTCCTTTACCTGAGCCTCCAGGGGCTTTGCGTCCCTCGCACACAGGACCACTCACTAAATGCCTGCTGACTGGCTGACAGACATTTTCCCACTGCAGAACGCAGAGTCTGCAGCAGACCCCCACCTGGCAGAGAGGCTCTTGGTACATGCCAGTAACTCTGGCTTACAAAGGGCTCCGTCTCCATGACGTTATCTGGCCTCATTTTCTGCATGGAACAATCCCATGTTTCTCAGAGTCTCTAGAAACTGTCTCAGTGAATCAGTCAACAATTATTCTTGCCACACAAGCTCAAGTACAAGGACGGCAATGGAAAGGAGTTGCCATCTTGGGGGAGCAGATACGTGCAGTCGGCATCACCCACCGAGCCTGTCCTGGTCACAGATGATGGGTCAGCCTCTACCCTGGGAGATGCTTCCAGGGTCCCTCACTCAACCCAAGGGGCAGCTTCCAGCTCAGGGGGCTCAGCCTGGCATGGGGCGCTCCTCCTGCAGTGGCATACTGGGCCCCTAGAGGACACCTTCTAGAGGACCTGGTAGGCTCAGGAGGGGCAGAATGGCTGACCCCCTGAGCGTTTCTTTCTACATGCTCCTTGCAGAGATGACAAATAAACACTTTTAAAATCTCACCTAGAAAACCAAGCGGCCCTCTAAGGAATGAATCTTCCCACCCCATTGGCCAACGCCCAGCTCTCTTCTGTTCAGTCAGTCTGGAGCTGGGGGGACCCATCTTACAGGAGAGGAAAGCTGAGGCCCAGAGACGCCCACTGACTTGTCCAAGCTCACATAGGGAGTACAAAGGGACAAAGCCTCACCCCCAAGCCCCTGGCCTATAGTTCCAGTGCACCACATGGCCTTTGGCAGGAGAGAAAATGAGCCTGCCTCGAGGCCCCACAAACACCAATCGAGCTGTGGTCGCCTGGGTCACCTCCCTGTCCCTCACAGTGCAGGAAGTCCCACTTGTCCTTCAAGGCTTACCCAGGAAGGCCCTCCTTTCCCTGACCTATCACTGTTGGCCACATCCCACCTCCTGGTTCAGCCTCCCACAGAGTCACCTTCCTTGGCTCCTTTCCCTTCTTGGAGACCCAGAGTTCTCTCCTCCCTGTCCCCCTCGGCCCTGGGGCTTTTACACGGTGCTTTAAGGTATGCAAAGCACTTTCAGATCCCAGAGAAGAAGACTAACTAAGCTTTGTGAAGCCCTACTATGTGTCTGTAAGGCCCTGTGCCCCACATTACAGTTACTATCCCATTTGTTCCTCACAACAGCACTGGGAGGTAGGTGCTGTCATTATTAATTCTATCTTGCAGATTAGGAAACTGTGGCTGAGAGTGGTTAAGTGACTAGGCTAGGGTCACGCAGGTAGTAAGTGTCCAACCACGGGGGACTGCATGGAGGCAAGAGGAGGGCCCAGGGGCTTGGTGTGGCCTATAGGGAGAGTCCCATCGAGCTTCTGGGGCTCCCTGCATCATCACAGAGAAAATACCAGCAGGAAAAGAGCTCTGCTGGCCTGCAGGGGCACACAGGGGTGGAAGGCCAGATGGGGTTAGGCAGGAGTGGTCTGGGAAGTGGCCAGGCGCCTGGCCCTGGCAGCAGAGATCTCTAGCCGCTTCCCCTGGGCCATCTGTGTGGGCTGCCAAGTGAAGAGGGAGGCGAGAGACAAAAGCACAGGATGGAAATCCTGCATTGCCCAGAGAATGAGCCCCAGGCGGGCTCCTCCTTCCCAAGGGAGGACACAACATGCTTCCCCCTCAGGAGGTCACAGCCCCGGCTTCTGCTGCGGCTACAGTCAACGTCCTGCAAGGCAGAACATGGATCTGAACAGAAGGCGGCGAATCAGGGCTGGTCAGGGCAGCCAGACACAGTATCGGGGCCCTGGGCAGAGCCTCTGAGGAGAGGCTGGGGGGCAAGAGCAGCTCCCCGGGCCTGACAAAGACTGGACATCACAGCCTGCCTTCATATCTGAATGCAGGAGTCTGGGGGTCTGAATGTGGGGGCCTCCGGTCCATATTCCAGCCCATAAAATAGAGATACATGCGGAACACCAAGGAACCTTGAAGCTGTCTAGCTCCACCCCTTCATCTTACAGGTGAAGGAAGAAACCGAGGCGTGATGACTTGCCCAAGATCACACAGGTTCGGGGCCAAAGGTGGGATCCGGAACATGTCTACTCAAACCTTACTTTTCTCAAACGACAAAGACGAGTCTGAAAAAGGCACCCAGGGGAACAGAAAAGGCTCTTGGAAGAAGAGCTTGGAAAGTTACTCATGCCTTCACACCAAAGCGGTGGGGCCGCACAGGGAGGAACACTGCCTGCACAGCCGCACAATCCCCCAAGTGGCTGCCAATCCGCCCACCCCGCAGCTGGGCTAAAACCCCATGCTGGACAGGGAGCCGGCCCTCTGCTGCTCATCTCCGATGTGTCCCGAATGGGTCTAGTTTGCATGCTGTTTGTACACACTTGTCAGCTCCTCGAGGGCAGGGGCTGTCCCTGACGGCACAGCACCTGGCATGCAGTAGGCACTTAAAAAGTGCTCATTGTTATTGGAACCTAGGTCTCCTGGCTCTTGGGTGTAGTGTGAGAAGACAGCTCAGGATCAGCTAGGTCAATCCTCCTGATTTATGGATGAGGAAACTGAGGCCCTGATCGACGACGGGATCGCCCTTTACTCCACTGCGCCTGGCTAGCTGGAACACCAGG